ATGTGAAGTATCCGCCATTAATTTCTGGTCTATACGCGTTCTGGCCTTCAGCGTTCGTTTGTAATGGCGAATCATCGACGCGTCAATTATGCCGTGTGATTAATGGTTCATTCCGTAGTCATCACTCATCTCCCTAAAGGTGGTAAATGGTGCGTTCTTGAAAGGGAAGTTCCGTCCAAATACGAATAATTTCTTACTTTATTATGACATTAAATTTGTCTTAACTTCCTTGATTTTTACCGTGCATAATATTTCTTAAAATTTTCAGGCACTCTTGACATTTAAAATTATTAAAGAGGAAAAGATATTAATTATTGTCATATATTTAAAACAGTTAAGATATGATTTTAATTATAACGAAAAAAATTTGGTTTGCATATAATATTTCTTGAAATTTTGACTCTTGAAATTTTTATATTTAAATTTATTTGAAAGGTAACACTAACGATAATTATGATAAATATTATTATATTATACACTTAGAATTTAAGATATAATCTTATCTCTAGCAAACACAATTTGGAAATTTGTTTTGATGCACCTATTACTCAAAGATTAATCAAGATTCAATTAATCTTAAGTTTTAAACAATTAATAAAGATTTTCCTTAAAAATATTTGGATTAAAATAGATAAGAGGGGATTGTAAATTTCTAATTTAAAATATCTTTTTAACAGTATGTTATCTCTGTAACAATCTAATCATGTAAGCTTTGAAGTGTTAATTTACGTTGTACATATCGCACGATCATAGATTTTTGATACACAAAGAATGAAATAGGGGACAAGCTAGAAAGGAAGGCAAAGGGTATTGTGAGTGCCCTTCTCTGATGTAACTCACTTATCAGGGTGAAACGGTTGCGCTCCCTTTCTTCCTTCCCGATCTCGTTCTCGTGAGATAGGATATCATCTCTCTTTGTCCTGTCTTTGCATTCTATTCACCTTCCCGTAGCCTTCCTGACGAGGAAGGAGCAGCATTCCCCATTACCGATAAGATACTGATCGCGATGTATGTACACCCACCGGCACTAATCCGCACGGTGATCTGATAATTGAGCGAACGCTGGACGCCGGAAATACGTAACAGCCGTTACTGTCACAGTAACGTCGATGCGGGATTACGAGTTGTTGGTCATCCTTGCTCGTAACCAGGGTCAATTTGTGGTATCCACAAATCACGCCAGAATCACCGAAAGTGTCCGGAGCGATGCGATTTTACAAAGCCACGGCGAAAACAATGCACTCTTTCTACGAAAGATCAAATACGACATGTATTTTAATGATTGTCGCTTTTTTAATTAATTATAAGCCTAGTTAAGCCGATTCTCTCACAGTTCTAAAAAATAACGATATATACAACTGTAATAAATTTTTATATTAAATTATATTAAATTGTATAATATATTCCGAAAAAAATCGCGTGTAGAACTAAAATGCTAAAATAAATTAATAATAAAGCAACTAGGATATTTATTGTGTCTTGAAATTTACGAACGTTAATTATGTTGCTTTCTCGCAATTTATCAAAAGTTACTGTTATAGCTTTTAGTCAAAGCTATATCTAAAAAAACGGGAGGTTATAAGAGTAATTGAATATGAACTGAGGTGCTAATTTAGAGTTCGTTATTATAAAGGATGTGTCGCTTGCGTTTTGCAATTAGTTACGTTGCATAATGAAAATTTAGTATCATTATGAAAATTAGCAATTGTTTCTATTTCGAAGCGAAACATGTTTTAATTGCTAATAAACACGTTCACGCAGAAGCCCATCGCCAGTTCCGCGCTTTATAATTATTGCAACGGTACACTGGGCTAACTTTCCAACTAACTTTCCGAATGATATCGAAACAGTTTATCGAGTGGCGGCAATTTAATTGATTATTTACCTTTCCGTCGTCATTAATACAGTATTATCACGTTCGTGATATTTTAATGTGTCACTTTAATTGCATGCATTTCGATTTCGTTGGTGGGACAGTCGACGAGCACGGTTGTCCGTGTCCGCGTATTTCGGCCGGAGCTACTATTCCCCTTCCGGAACTTCGCGATAAATCTCGATTAATCCAATCGAGGAGCCGTCGCGCGGACGCTGGCGCGTGACCAATCCCGAAGAAGCGATTGCCAATCGACGCTCGATTCGCCAGGATAGACCTTCCCGTTTAGTTAACGTAGTCGCTTCTTTGATTAGTTAACCCATTCCCGTCTTTGTTCGCAAAAGGGCGACGGGATGTACAGTTCCCTGGAGGGTTTCCTACCGTAGACACCCCCTCCACTTTGCTCCCTTACTCTTTACAGGATCTCCTCTCGTACACTCTATGGACTGAGATGAGAGCGGCCGCTCGGTCGGAAAATCGCTTTAAACCGCGCCGACTAATATTAACTTTCTCCTATCGTTTCGCGAAATTCCCCAACTCTTTTTTTTCTCTCCATCGCGCATGCCGGGCAGCGGGATCGCAAAAGCGCTTTCCCTCCCCACGGGGCGCACGCCCGCGCCGGACAGTGCTCCGAAATTTCCTTATTTGCCGTTCGGACGGCCGGCTTTGTGTAAACTTCGTTTTATCCCGCAAACGATGAATGTTTTCCTCCCTTCATCTTTCCACCTCCGCGATCGATACGTCTGGAATTTCGTAACGAGCAGCGAGATCGGTTATATGAGTCACGACAAGACCCGAGGTAGTCACGACACACCAAGGTCACATGTAATTAACCACCTTGCACACACCGCTGTGCTGTGATCGATTACAACTTTCGATCCGTGAAACGTGACGCGAGTGATGACTATTAAAGTTCAGTGATTTATTAGCAGTGCAAAAGAGGGGGAGGCAAAACGAGAAGAGAAAAGAGTCACGACTGGTGAATCAGGTCACCGTTTCAATCGACAAACTTTATGCAAACCATTTTAGGGCGCAACAAACTGTCGCGTCAGCAGTGAGATGGTAAATGGTAATGCTTTCCGCTTATACAACCCAGTCACATTCTACAACGAGCATAATTCACACGAGTCAACTATAATAATAACCGCCTGCTAAAGCGTCGCGACATGCATCCCGTGTGAGCATGTATAAAAAAGTAGAAGCGTCTTTCACGTGCGCTTTTCTCGAAATATTCTTTGCATTTGAGAACATCACTTTGAATATAATCGCTTAAATTTAGCTTATCAACAGATAACTATGCTTTCCTTTCGTATTCCATTTAGCGAATAATTTTCAAATCATTAGCAAAAGCTTGTATCCGTATCCGGCTTATGCTATTATACTCGCACTTGTATCGATTCGCTCTGGATTTCAAGGCTGGATATTTAGGTTTTCTAATATTGAATCGCTTAGAAGATTATATGGCTGCGTACGCATCCGTTGGAATCGTATAAGAAATTCGAGCGTAAAATAAAGTCGAGCGTTAATGTTTTATGCGCTTCCGTGGAGAACGAAAACACCGGGATGCAAAATATTGACCCGCGTATTAGACTTTAATCAGCCGCTCGGAGTGAAAATATTGGCCGACGGCGATCCGCGCGAAGCATAAAATTAGAAGAGACTTGCGGGCGCGAGCTTTCCGGCGCGGCGTCAGATGAATCGACGAACGGGAATTCGCGTGACGCGATTGAGAGACGCTGGCGGGACGCGGGTAGTACGTCCCAAGGGGTAGGACCTCAAACACGCATAATCCGGGCGAAATTACTGCGTGCTGGCGAAAAGCTCCGCGCGTAAGTTTCGAAAGCGGACGAGCCTCTGTGCACGGTCAAATATGTACTCTGGGGTAACCAAACACACCAGTATAGTCTTTCACGTGAGCAACGCGCTCACAGCTGTATGTGCTAAAATACCCATGGCAACATACGTCGCGTACAGGCCGCGTTTCGTAAAATGCAGCATTAATCCGGCCGTTCAACTGGGGGCGCGCGAACCTTATTGCAAAAAAATTTCGTCGGAAAGCATAGGTTAAATATATCAGTATATACGTACAAAAATATTATACAGAACGTTTCGAAGTCCTCGCATTTTTCTATGCGACTCAGTTCAGACTTTGGACTCGGCCACAAAAATAAATGATTACGTATCAAAAATAGTTTCTTCTCGACGTTGCTTTAACAGAAATTGTGTTTGACATTTGTGTATGTCGAAAGTATTGAAAATGGAAAGTTGAAAACTTGCCAGCGATGATGGATTTCCATGAAATTTTTGCTAACGGCAAATCGGCTTCAAATTTGTCAGCCCTGAAGCTGAAACGATATTCAATAACGACGGCATAGCCTCTATATAAAATAAATCATATTCATAGGGAACATGCTACAAAATATTCGGCCCCAATATTTTTCCATTCCCGATATAATAACTTCTAACTCACTTTGCGGCCATTCGTGGTCATATACATGTCGCCGCAATAAAATCATCCTCTGCTTCACTTTGCACAGATAAAGTGCTTAATATTTTAATCGTTCGTTTAACGAGTGCGATGCCCGTGAGAATATTTCGCGCTTTGCAACATGTCCAATCAAAATAGTCGATTGGTTTCTCGGTCGCGAAATAGTCGACTGCGAATAAATCTGCTCGCGAAACCGTTTTATTCGGCGATTTTATAAATAAATTTTATTGCGCAGACATATGTAATCCTTGAATATTATATAGAAAACGAGAGCTTATTAATGTGTAACTTGTCTAGTAAAGTTGCTAAAGGCTCTTCTCTTGTTTACAGTTATCTTATAATAATTTGTGCGTGAATTTTCAATTCTTTACCTTTTTCGCATTAACAAATAATAAAAGCTATTGTCTGGAATATTGGCGATAATATTATCTCAATTATGTTTAAAATATTATATCTGAAAAGGGGGGGGCGTTTTTACAAATTACTCGACTACGATAAATCACACGACTACGAACTGATAAAGTGCACACAAGAGTTTTTGACTTGTTAACGTATTAATAACGTTGTTTTGCTGTAGACTGCATGCATATTTAATATGCCGCGTACACATACAACATAAACTTTTTTTTCACATTACAGTATAATGAACAACAACAGTGTGGAGCAGCCAGATCCGGATAACATAAAGATGTTCGTGGGACAGGTACCTCACGATATGGATGAGAATGATCTGAGGATGATGTTTGAGGAATATGGTCGAGTGCATCAGATAAATATCCTGCGGGACAAGATCACCGGCAGTCATAGGGGTGAGTCATTGAGTTTCTTTAAATTTGCGATTGCATGCATGCTCAAATCACCCAGTTGCAATAAAATTTTGCATTTAATGAAAGAGTGGTAAAAAGCGCATTTTTTAAATTATTTGCGACATAAAGAACTATTTTTGAATAAATAATTCTAAATTAACTTTTTAAATAACTCCATCTAACAGATGGAGATAGATTTCTTTCTATTTCTTTGCTATTTTGCTCAAGATTTATTAGAGTCTTTAATTATGTGACAGAATTGTATATAAACAAAATGTTATGAATTATGAATGTGTATCAAACGTTACAATATATTCTTGTTAGAAAAATTATAATAAGAATTCTTATAATTTAACAAATATATTTAATCAGCATATTAGCAGTTTTCAATATTCTTTTTTACAAAAATGAAAAATACTACGTAATATACTCTTCTATATAATTTTAACAAATGATAATTATTGCATTATACTTAACTCTTTTTCGATATATTTTTCTCTGACTTTTTTTCATTTTACGTGAATAAATCAATAAGAAAAGCCGGACCTGCAGTACATAACTTTTATTTTGTTATCGACAAATCTTCCAAATCTGTTCAACATTCATAAAACAAAACGGAATCGAGCATGAAAATCGGTTTACGCACTTACACTGTCACGAATGTCACGATCATCGACATTTCGAAGTTAACGGAATGGCATGTTGAAATGAATACGCGAAATAGTTGTAGAAAGAGAGAAAAAGTCAGGGAAAATAGACGCATTTACGAGGACATAAAGAACGATAGGCCGTGAGACATGATCGTAGATCAAAATTAATTCCGGATATGTTCGACCCTTATGATATCACGCGAGAATTGTTCGAGAATTGAATATATTTCATTTTTTATGGAGGATATAGATGGATATCCTGTATTATTGTTTTCGTACTTCTCGCAGCTAATTGCGATGCGATACTATAATTATATATGATAAATAATGAGAAATATGTCATGAAAAAGATATAAGAGACGGATTACGCGAATAATGCTAATACTATTTGATTATCAAATAATTGGAATTCCGATGCATCTGATTTTTGAAAACCGTTCTTCAAGTTGAATTATACCAATAAATTCACTGAATAGGTTAATTCGCCGAAAATCATATTTTCCATTAAACTGATCCCTCAACATTTTCGACGTAATCGAATTTTCAATATAATTGTTGCGCTTTACTATTATTGATGTAGTCTCGTAATGGAGCGTATCGATAGGTATTATTCCGAATAATTTGGCTTTTTTCAAAATTCCAACCTAATTGCTAAACGGATATAGTATAATTGAATAATCCTACATGATTGTAATCAATTATTTCTTTATCAAGTGTCACCACAAATTTTCTAAATTGAAAATAATTGTAGAAAGTAGATAAACAAGTGTAAGAAGTAATAACGGATGGCACTTCAGGATATAAAACTAAAAATTTTTTAAAGATTGTAACATGTTGTGTAACTAAAAAAAAATATTGAAGAAAATATCTTTGAACAAGATTTTCATGTAGGATTAGTAAGATAATAATATTTGAAGAAAATTACTTTTTATTGTTTCCAACCAACATCCACATCAGATAAAGAAAATAAAGAAAGAGAAACGCGAATACAACGATTGATATGTAGTTATAGGAACGGTCGTTGCTATAAACCTTCCTCGGTATATCGATCGGAGGGCGAGAGAGCAACCCCACGAGACTCTCTTATGTCTCCCCACGTCCGAATACAGGCGCGCTTGTAACGTGGCTGTCACTGAAATATGCACGTACTCACTAATAACGAGGCTTAACGCTCGCTAAACGTCGTCTGCATCGGTGAAAGTTTGCACAATTACTTTCACTGTACAGATGACTTCAAATTTGCAGCCGATGTGAAAGTCAGGCATTGTGTGGTAAAACTCGATTGTACATGTTAAGAATATCGATTTCTGTGCGGTCGAAGTTCGCCGTGGATATCACCAAGCATAATTATGATCGAGTTTTCTATATAATAACGAGCAGAAAAAGAAAAAATATTGTATTGTATCATTCTTGTAACAAATAGTAGCTAGAAAACTATACATTTATGATAAATACCTTCTACTGGAAACTTAGAAAACTACAAATGTATAATAAACTATATTATATTAATTTTTTTCTAAGCACATTAAATTACATAGATCACAGACAACGGGCAATTTAAAAAAGTTACTTACTTTAATTAAAAAATTATTAATTATGATATTATTTTTTTATAATTTTTTTACAACTTATAGCAATTGCTTTCTTGCAATTTGATTTGTAAATAATATACGTGTAATGCGTGTGTATACAAAAGGAGAAAAATAGAAAGAAAGAAGTTTCAAAATTTTATTGTACTTCTTATAAAGCTACTTTATTTTTTTAATTGTTTAAAATTATTTTTGATTATGCAGAAATTAATTTCCAAACATTCAATATATCAAACATGGAAGATAAATCAATTGCTAATGTTATCTTATTTCGCAGTTCTTGGTAATTTAAACGAATTTTCTTGACGAAGCAGACTTCAGAAATCTTCTGCAGATAAGTAGATCTATATGTAAAATGTACGCGATGCACTATCCGAGTCGGAAGGCGCGAAATGTTAGGATTCTGAGAACTTCCGGAATAATTAATGTGGGCGAATTGTAAACGTCATGCGCACCTGCAAAATTGATGGCGGCAGGCAGTACAACTGGGATGAAATTCGTTCCCCATTGTGAAAATTTAACTTGATTACCATGACGTAATGGTGAATTAATGTCCCGCTCGCGGGCCGTTTGTTTAATGCACCGCATTTTAGATTCGAAATCTCTGTCAACGTGGAGTTTCAATTCTACAATAAAACGAGCTAATTACTGTTTCCCAATTAACTTTTAGTTGACAATGTCATGTTAGGCAATCTCCTCGTCGCCTTCCTCGTCTCAAATTAAAATCGATTTTATAATATCTTAAAATGAACCGATTACCACACTTTTTATCAGTTTAATAAGTGGTCATAAGTGGCGTTCTGTAAAATCTCATTTGTAAGCATTGAATACACACACGTACACAATCGGTATATAAATTAGTAACTTAAGTAAAATGCATACCGGAATAATAACACTCGACATGGGGTGAGCAGGCTTGTCTGTCGCTGGCCAAACAGCGAGTCAGAAGGTAAATTCCACAGTGCATCGAGGCGTTTTATCTCGACGGTAGAAATAAAACGCTAAAATTTCCAGAAATTCTATATTAATTAAGCTGCGGAGTTGAGCTTGGCATAAGCTCTACTAAAAATTAACAAGGGGTACTTGTGGAATATATTTGATTTACGCCAGGATAAATTTGAAGTTTAAATTATTCACAGGAATACTCGTAATTTCACATAATGAAAAAATTTTCTTCAGCATTGATAATTACAATACTTTAATCTGTTTCTCATTTATTTAATTTTAGACGCTTCCATAAAACCAGACTTAATATAATTAACTCTATTATTTCGATAAGGTATTTTTCGTTGAAGTTAAATATAAAAAGCATAAAATGCAGCATAATGTGATGACTAAAGGCACTTCTTTGATATTCTATTTTTAATTAATCAAATTACTTTGAAATTAAACGTATGTAAATTCGATGATATATTCTTTATTGGTGAACAAGTTTATGATATAGTTTACAATATACAGACATTTTAAGCAAAATTATTTACTAAGCGAAAGTAACTACCAGCGAAAGTTTTGAAATATTCTTTTCCGATTGACTTTTATACCAATTTCGCGATTACTTGATTTAGCGATCTATCGAGTAGAAAAAGAGTTGACTTAATAGATTTCTTACCTTTGACTCTTTATTTTAAAAAAATTTTTAAGTAAATTGTTTAACAATAAGAGAATGATAAAAATATATATATGTATATATGCACACCATACATGATAATTATTAGCACAGCGCTTGTATGCAAGTAGAACGGGTTGAACGGAATAGAAAAGTGCTCTCTCATTTTGTGATAGAGCACTTCATCGGCGTGATTGCAAGCGCATGAAGAAGAAAAGACAACTTTTCGTCGATTACAGTTGCTACGCATATGGTGAAACATTGGGAGGAACGTGCTTTTGGCAACGGCAGTTTGCAATAATGCGTAATGTTAGGCTGTCTTTTGCCGCTGAACACGGGATTCCGTACACCAGATATGCATACTGACATTCACAGATCTTTATTAATCAATTTCTCATTAATTATTGCGAAAATCGTAAAATGATAGAGAAAACTACTCGTTATAAGTTTAACCCACTCTACCTGCACCCAAGCGCTGTAATTTTTCTAATTTATGGCCCGGTGATTATATTGATCATTAAGGGCCTTCTATTGCAATATGCATATTAAGGTAAGCTAATCTCATCACAAAGTAACTTTACCGGGCATTTACATAATTAATTCGGGTATTATCATATTAATTCGGGTATGTCCACCATCGAAATACGAGATTTATGCGAAACAGATAAAATGGCGGCCGAAGTCATCTGCTTTGAAATCAATATCGCCAAAGTGAGCAATCTATGGAATGTTCAATTTGGTGAGTCAATAGGAGACAGCGAACTCGCGGCAAACTCCTTTTATGCCCGATTAAAACAAGTGCGGAACCGTGTTCGCAATGAAGATCTTCGAGATTGCCATCGTAGCCAATATATCGGAATCCCGAAAGTGTCCGACTGCGCGCCGCTTCTTGTCGCAAAGTAGCGGAATTCGATACCTCGCTACTTTGTGAGACACGATATGGGAACGACAAGGACGACAATAGGATTCTCTGCAAACAGGAAGGACGGGACTGCTGTCTCCTGTCGCACAATTTTCCGCGTGGAATTCCGTTGCTTCCGCCCGGCGAAAAGACGTTGGGAAATGTTTTAGTTAAATTAACAGAGCTCGCGCGCGGATGTTTCCCTGTGTCGATTGCGAATTCCTCTTCGACAAGCTTCCTGTTATTGTGCGGATATA